TGACTGATCATTACTGAGGGTTATCAATGGCAGAAGGTCGAGATTATTACTCCTCACATGGACTCTGTCCCTTTCCGACGCTTGCAGCCTGGTTTCTTAAATTCTTTGTTTTTTCCCTCGTGCTGTTGAGATGTTCACCTCAATAGCGTTCTGCAGAAATATGTCCACAGAGTCATCCCGCAGACCTGCCTGGGTCTGTAGCAGGAATTCTCTAGAGTCCTGCATCTTGTTGCATGTGGAGGACTCAGTGCCAGTAGACTCTGTGTACAGTTCAGAGAGGCACTAACAGTAGTAAAAACATGAGTTAACATGTTTCCTCATTAACATGAGTGGAAACAGACTCACACAGGACTTTACATATCAAAACAAGTTACACTTCTCACCACCAAACAAGACACACAACCTCACAGTGTGTGCCTGTGCGTGCTGGTGACACTGAGAGACAGTGGGTGACAGTGAGTGTTGGTGGGTGTGACAGTGGGTGACAGTGGGAGTGGGTGTGACTTGAGTGGGAGTTGCTGGGAGTTGAGTGGGTGGGAGTGGGTGTCAGTGGGTGGGAGTTGGACTGAGTGGGATTGAGAGTGAGTGGGAGTGAGTGTCTGAAGTATCTTCAGGTCTGGGTCCTGCCATCTTTCAGAATCCTTCTTGAGCTGAGCTTCTCCTGGGCTTCTCTCTTCTTCAGGGGGGTTGGAGTCTCTCTGTAACAGACAGAGACACTTTCACTGGACTGCAGTCTGTCTGTGAGGGACTGTCAATGGATCAGCGTCTACAAACCCACAGGGGATAAGAGAGCCACACACTCCAGCCCTGTGTCAGACACAACAAGACGGGGCCTTGATACTGTATATTGTTATGAGGTTTTATCAGATATTGTTAACAGTGGTTATTTCACTAGAGTAGTAAGAACAATTATAACAGGCTTTTACACAGAGTGGTAATTTTGGAATATAATAAACAGAGGTGATTTATGAAAGAACCCATAGGTCCAGATACAAAGTAAAGGAGACGCTAATAACTGCTAATTAAAGATGTGTGTGATTCACAGCCTGGACATCTGGAGCAGCAACAACTCAAGAGCCTTTAGCAAGAGAAGAGTCTGGTGATAAATACCTCCTGCGTGGCCCCATCAGAGTCCAGTGAAGACTTGAACTCCTGTTCCTGAGGGGGACCTGTGTCCTGGACAATCAGACAGGAGCATCAGGAACAACACCAGCCAACAGCTTGTTATTAATTTATTCATCTGTTATTATTATTACTATTATTATTATACAGCCCTGCCTGTGTGCTGTGACTCACCTTTCTTGTCCTCCTGTCCATAAACTCTCCTACAGACTGCTGCCCCTCATTCCGAAAGTCTTTTCCTGCTTTTATTGTGATTTTGTTCTCTTTTCCTCATGTGTTGAGATTCTTCTTCCAAGCTCAACATTGTAGACTCCTCATGCAGCTCTTTCCTCTCTCCCATCACGAGACAAAGCTAAGCTGAGTTATTCCTTTTGTTCTTTAATGCAGCCACAAGCCTACCATATAAAAATGTCATTCTGTTCAGGCTGGATCAAGTCCCTCATTGAAACTGTCAGCCCAGGTGTCCTCACTGAGATACAGAGGACGACTGAAACAGTCTTTGGAAATTTCACTGCACACTGACTTTTGATTTCCCTGATGCAGAACTTTCCCAGGCATCAGCCCTGGACAAACAGGATCCAGTCTTATCAAGTGCAAACTTATAACACTCATCAGTTTAAATGCCTCTCAGCTTTCTTAACTCAGCTGGTAATGGTCTTTTTGTCAGTCCTATTAAGAGCAGGGCAGAAGAAATTGAGAAGCATACAGTACCTCCTGGTTTTTCGATGTCTGTAATGTTGATGATTTTCTCTCTGTCCTGTAAAACACAAGTGTTATTTTCAGTTTTTCATATGAATGCATTACATATTTAATGTTTAAGACTTTTTTAAATATAGTAATTAAACAAACGTTTTTTGCTACAGAATGGCATGCTTGCTAAAGTTTAAACACAGTTGAAATGCTTTCCTGACACTTTTCAGAATTCATTCTGCTTTCTGTTTATAACAGCTTGAAAACTAATTCTCTTTCCTGTACAGTACATATTCAAAGTGAGAAATATTTGGCTTTTTACTTACTCAGGTTTGTTATTCTTATCCTTGTTTTTCTTATCTGGAGAGGACCAAAAACAAGTTTAGACAAATCAGTTTCCCATTCCCAACAGTTTAAAATCATCAAAAAGAGAAATACCAAAGATGTTGTAATCTTAAGGTTTCCTAAAAAAATATTCAAGTCTATAAGGAAGCATATTGGTGTCACAGAGTTAAGCCATGGTCATTATAATGAGATACATATATACATAGATATACATATACAGTACCTGTACTTCATCCCCACAATTGTGATGAGTCAACAGAGCTGAGCAGTACAGTACCTGTACATACTGTATACAGCAGCACATATAGAGTACAACACCACCCAGTTTGGACAAGAGCATTATCCAGCCTGAGGTTGTGTTGAGATTAACAGACGCTGATAAATCAACTGTCTCCTTCAGCTGTGACACTTCCTTAGTTACAAGACGAGTATGTCTTTCTGTATGAGTCACACCCAATTCTGTTTTCACACAACGTCACACCAGTATTCCCAGAAACAGGTCAGAGCTGTAAATGGTGATAGAAATAAGTTCCCAAGCACTGCTGATGTATCACACAATGCTAAAAAACATTTTTCAGTTTAACTGATGTGATGAGTTTCTGGTAACTTTATTATTTTTGTGTGAATTGACTGCAGTGTTTTCACCCAAGCACACAAACTTCGGTTTAAAAGTATAATATAACAGCAAATGTCGCACTGGGGTGAAACACAGCAGCACTAATTAATAGCCTCTTTAAATTTGACAGAAACCTAAATAAAAGTGTTGTGGCTGAATGGACACGCAGCTTCATTCCTGAAGTGCAACACTGACAACAGGAAACCAAGAAACTTTCTGCAGAGGGCATTATCTCTCACCAGACCATCTGCTGTCTGGTATATCTACTGTATATATCTTCCAGTTTATCTCATTTCTGGTGTCATTTTGCCTCAGTACCTCTAGGAAACTACAGCAGGAACCTGCCTGTGTCCCTGGCTGTCAGACTCTGAGATGTTCCAGACTTACTGTGATCAGTTCAATTAAGGAAGGACCTTCTGTGAAGAGGTACCTGTAGGGTGAGGGTGTTTAAAGCCCTTTAGTGATCCAGGCACCCAGAGCCAATTTCCACCTGGAATATTCTTCCCTCAATACAACAGAGGCCTGGTTCATGTCGTAAACTGAAGCTAACCCCTAGGGCATTACGTGTAAACAATTATATTTCTTTTATCTCTTACTGTGTCCTCTCAGAAGACAAATAAATCCAGAAATATGGCTTCAAATATCAATTTTTCAGAAGCTGGTGATCAAATGAAACAATCAAAAATTCTGCCTCAGAATTCATTGCTTCACTTTGGTTCAATTACTCAAGATCACTTTATTGGCCATATACAATTTCTTGCATTAGGAATTCATCTTTCCACAGACCCCTGCTTGCTCTCCATGAGACACAGACAGGGAGAGAAGCTGGGGGTCAGAGCACAGGGTCAGCCATTGTACAGCACCCCTGGAGCAGTTGGGGTTAAGGGCCTTGCTCAGGGGCCCAACAGAGTAGGATTCCTCTGCCAGCTGTGGGATTTGAACCAGCAACCTTCCAACCACAGGCACAGATCCTGAGGCACAGAGCCACCGCTGCTCCACTTAGATAACACAGTTTATTTCACTGGGTACAACAGCATCCAAGAACTGAATGCCTTGTAAATGCCTGGAATTCCTGGTGAGACAGGTTGAGCTGCTTGGTCAGTGGGCAGCCTCCTGGCCACAGCAGGAGGAGACTCGAACCCCATTCAGAAGGAGACAAGCTGTAGGGCAGAGCTGGGTGACTGACTTGTTTATCCCTCCTGATCTTCTGTTACTGGAAAAGCTTCCAGTAAGGGTATCAGTTGAGTGAAATTGTAAATACTCAACTTCTTTACAAATCTCACGTATTTTATCATCTTGCATAACTGTGTCAATGAAATCCTTTCCTAGAATGTATCAACAGCTGCTTGTATTTCTACCACAGATGTTAAAACAACCTTCAGTTTTCTCCTGCTCTGTTTCTGTCCTCCATTATTACTGTATAAAGGATAACTGCTAGAACTCAGGACTGAGATACTCACAGTAATTATACATCAGACGAACAGCACAGCAGATCACAAAGAAGGATTCACAGGGCACGACCACCAAGCGAAGATCTTTCACAGCTCGGTAGCCTTTAGCTGGAATTCAAGACATTGATACTGATAAACAAGCAAGTGGTCGCAGAACTTCTGACATTATTATTTTACTGATTCTTTTTAAAACTGCTTTTTAAAACTACTGACACTGCTATCACATTTTATGGTGATACTGGTGTAGTGATAAAAGGTAAAAACATTCCACAGGCACTAAACGGCACATTTTAACAGTCAGAAGTGTTAAGAAATTGCGTCTACGTGCTCTAGGTTTACTTTGGCTTATGAAAACAACTGTTTTTCAGTAAAAATACTAGAACTTTCTTCAGAATATTTCCACACTCTGGGAGTGACTCTTCATAACAAGCTCATCATGTCAGTTAAATGCCAAAGGATCTCCACTCCACTGGCTACAAAGAAACTGATCATTAATTTCCTTCACTGCTGATCCTAAACATGTTCAGTAGATTGATCAGTTCAAACTTTTTCTTTTTTTCTTATTTTTGAATTCCTTTTTTTTCATTTTTTTTATTTCATTCCTGTCTGGTGAGTATGATGACATTAATAAATAAATAAGAGTTTGCAATAAACGTTTTGTGGAGAGATGGAACCAAGACAAAAGAAATTAAAATAATAAAGTTAAATAAAGTTTATCTAAAGTTGAAGGTGAGGAGGAAGATGAAGGGGTGGTGACAGTTGAAGATGAAGGTGTGATGAAGGAAAGGAAGTGCAGGTGCTCTAGAGAGCAGCACCTCATCAGTAAGAGTGGTGGAGGCAGTGTCCTGGCCTGGGCCTGGAACTGGCTCTCCTCCTGACTGATGATGAAGGAATGGATTCTGACAGGGACACAAACATCAGGTCTGCTGATGGAGAAGAAAACCCTTCAGTATTTCTAGAGTTGAGCTCCTTCATGCAGGATCACAGTGACCCAGAGCACACAGGCAGATCAGAGCAGAAGACCTTGCCCAGACCTTGCGTCTTGGCAGAGGCAACATTGACAGTGACCTGTTTCTGGACTAAACACATCTACACATCTACTGCTACATCTGCTCTCTTTCTTTTCATGTTCACAACCATTTTGTGTGCAATATACACCAGGGACCCATGCAATACATTTATATTTATATCTATATTACATCTATATTTGTATTCATATGTGTGATACGATTTTTCTGTGTTCTGTTCTGTTCTAGTTTGTTCTTTGTGTGTCCGGACTGTGAGTAACTCTTTTAGTGCACCCCTCACTGTACTGATTGGATTGTATTATTATTATTGTATCATTCGTCACACTGTGGCTGTGTTGTCTGTGTAAAGCTGCTGTTGCACTGCAATTTCCCTCACGGGATCAATAAAGTATCTATTTATCTAAGACAAGCATTAGCAGTTCCAAGAGAAAAAAGAATCGCGGTGAGTTCTACTGTACCTCTTGCATTTTTCCTGTTTATATGATATACTGTACAGTAGAGATACACTGCTGCATGAATTCTGAAATATTAGGAACAGCTGGGAGATTTATAAACAAACAGAACACAACAACACCTAGATGTCTGTATGAAATGCATGTACTATATGTTTAAGAGGTTAAGAAAAGTCTTTTAGTTTATCTCACTGTATACATTATATAGTGTGTTAGACCTCATTATTCATATTTTCACTAGGAATAACAACACCCAGGAAATACAGTAAGTGCACTGAAAGGATTCTGGGTTCTTCTCTGATAATCTGGCTGAACCCGCTGGGCTGAGGGCTGACCTCCTGGCAGAGGACGAGTGAGTCTGGACCCCCCTGCAGAGTGAGGGGTGACCCAGGGGCAGCTGCAGAGGGGGAGATGGGGTGGAGGAGGGAGGCAGAAAGACATAGCAAGGGAGAGAAAGGGATCATGTACTCATGTATTTATAGTGTTTTAGGAAAGGACATGACGTCAGGAGTGATTTCTCATTTCTGACAATACAGTCTGATGGAACTTGGCTATTGTCATCCCTCCCGAAAACCACTTTCACTAGGAATAACAACACCCAGGAATTAAGAGC